ATCATCATTGTGTAAGTGAAATGAATAAAATCTACTGCCTAGTTGAACATAACATGTTAAAATTACTTAATATATCATTCCAAAATAACTAGGGGTTAGTTAACATAAAAAAGATAACTTATAACCTAACATTCATCATTTAAAAAATAAAGAACTATGATTCAATTGCAATACTAGGCATAAAGATAGACTAGAGAAAAATACACTTTGGTTTTTATAGATGCTTTCTAGAATCCGGATCCCCTGATTGTAACCGAATATTCAAATTTTTTTGACTTCTCTTGCCTTTTTCCTTATCCACCCTCCCAAATGCAGATGAATTTCATATTCCACTTTATGTCTCCCCGAATCCTCCCAAAGCAGACCTCTACCTACAAAGAATTTAGATTCTCTAAATTCTAAAACTTGAGGATAGCTGTGGAAACTGGGAATCCCATATAACCTTTAATGCTTATAGGAATCCCCTACTCTACTCAAAATGAAATGATAAGGGGTCTTTTCTTTGGTCTGTAGGCATTCAATTTGGTCCTAAAATAAATATTTATGGAGTTATAATGGTAATATTCTCCAAATCACTAATAATAACAATTTTTTCTGGTGATAAAACATGTACTTTCATATATCACAAGTGATAAGAAAAATTATACAGCTACCTTACAGAACAGATTCATGATTTCTTGCAAATACAGTATAGTATAAGTCAATAGTCATACTCCTGGATATTCATGTAGGAAAAAAGACAGCTTGTGCCCTCCAGAAAGAATTACACAAGAATATTCATGGCAACTTTATTAATCATAACCAGAGAAGTGTAAACAACCCAAATGTCTACCAGTTGGTGAACTTACATTGATGTAAGTTCATACAGTCAAATACACTTATCAATAAAAAGGAACAAACTGATGACTCAGAAAGCCATATTGATGCATCTCGAAAGCTTTCTACTGCTTAGAAGAACAGACACAAACAGGTACATGCTGTTTAATTCCACGTACATGACAGTCTAGGGGGGAAATAAAAACTCTAAGGTCAGAAATCAGGTCTGTCCTTGCAGAGCTGGGGATGTGACAAACGAGTGAGCACAAGCAGGCAAGCAGTGACCTTGAGGGGGGTGGTGGTGGTCTGTAACTGTCTCACGCATTAAAGCAAGTGAGTTTACTTTATGTAAACTGTCCCAATGAGCCTTACTTTAAAAAAGAAAGGAAGATAAGCTCTTGCTAGAAATTGTGGCACTCGACACATAAAGTGGAATATGAAATTCATCTGCAACCTCACCAGCCAGTTTTTAGCAGCTTGTTTAACAGTAGATGCATTAAAGCCATATACTGTGAGTTTGTGTGACTGTTTGCTGTTGACACGTTTCATTGTAAGACTTTCTCTATTAATATCCCTTGTTGATATCTCTCTTAATGACTAATCATTCTTTATTTGACTTTAAATATATGGATCTACATATTTTTCCTTCCATCCTTCATTTCTTTTTAAATGTTTCTCTTATGTCGATAATCTGATTTTCTACCAGTGCGAAAGAAGCTCGAAAGTTGTACTTGAGGCCTACCCCCAGAAGTTAACCTGGGTGATCAATTTGTTGAAATTAAGTTTAATTTTATTAAACTTACTCTATTCAGTATCTTTCCTTATGTACTTTAACACTGTCCAATTTTTTACATAAATTTCTTGTATAGCTAATATGAAAACGGGAGAGCAGACACCATTATATTCTTTATGCAAAGCATTTATAACTTTTTTCTATACAGTTAATCCTCTATCAAACATCATATTTTTTCTTAAGCAGGAATCAGTAAAACCTTTATTACCATTTCTTCCACATACGTATCTATGCTCAGTTTGATACATTCTCTATGGTTTGAATTTCTTCTTACAGTAGAACAGAGCAAAAGAACCTCAAATCTCAACATTCTAGTGCTTTTATTGGTTCCAAACTCACTGATTCTGTTTCTGTAACATCTTCTCACACGCGCGTAGACATTCGCCCATCCGTTTTCTGTCTTCTGAGAAAGCTTTTTGTTTTTATTCCTAGATTAATGAGTTTCATGTTCAGTGATGTTGTAGCTGACAGAAGCATTCCTTGTGAGGGACCGTCACTGTCAACAAAACTTTCTCTTGATTTCTGTGGCGTAAATGGTTTGTGTTTCACTATTCACTTTTGCTTATATATGACCCAGCTGCCTGGCAACATGCCAGGGAAGCACTTTGATAAACAGGCTGTGGGCACAGGCAAAGGTTATTCCAAACGCCCTCTGGCTCTTGGGCACCTTATTTGGTGACATCTTGCTGGTGCATTTTTTCAGAGGGTGTCACTCATATCCATAGCATCTAGCTTCTGAGGTAACTGCTTGGGTGGGTGCATTTCGGGAAGGGCTGGCTACATAGACAGAAAGAGAGCAGCTGCACACCTATCGCCACAACCAGGAAATTAGAGGCTACAGCAAAGGTGGGGCAGAGGGTTTTCAGGGGACCTTGGGAGGAGATGGTGCACAGGTGAGAACAGTTGTCATAGATGTCTCTGTCAGTGACTGAGTCTGTTCACAGCCCCTCCACCAGCACAGATGATAAGTATCAGGGGAATTGTGAGAGCTGAATAGAAGTCCGTCAAATGCTTCAGCTAGCAGATATGTCTGAAAGAAAATATGTAATTGAGTTGGACAGTTTGGGTGATGACAGGCAAGAACCTAGTTGCTTTTATTTTGACTTGTCTTAACTCTCCATGGTTGTGTTTGCTTGGGAAAATTCAGGATATATAACAAAGGGAACTTAAATCTCCCAGAACACTGCCTCTCAAAGGTACTACTAGTAATATTTTGAAATATTCATCTCATTTCTATTACAAATTCCAAATCATTAAGTATGTAGGTAGTTTTGAAGTCTATATTTTTTTCCACATAGCATTATAGAGTGAATCAGTGGCAGCATATTTATTAAATCATTTGCCTACTGTCACATTCTCAACAATGTAGATAACACTATTCTGTGTCCACATGGCTGCATCTTTATGTATCTTGCTAGTGATTTCCCACATGAGTTCCAGAATAGAAGGTGTGGCTCTGTGTTCTGGGGCTGTGTTGTCCTGCAGCAAGGCTGAGAATGTGTTCTCCTCCCTTAGTAAATAAGTGAATGACCATGCACCACACCTCAGTCAACAGCCCACATTACATTTTTTTTAACAGGGGCAAAAAGAATGTTATATTTGTGGGGGGGAAACACCCTTTTTTTTAAAAAAAGAAGTTCTAAATCTTGGAGCTTAAACATTGTCTATTTTTTTAAGATGTATTTATTCATACAGAACTGGGGTATAAGCCAATGGTTCAGGGGCAGTGAGATGCTTTACCAGAGACAGAGGAGGAAGCATAACAGGCCAACTGATGAAGTAAACTGCTAAACAGAGCAGCGGGTGGGTCAGGAGAGGTCTGCCATGCCATGTGGGTCACCTGCGGGGCAGGGATCAAACTCACACTGAAATGGCGGCTGCAGCTAGCTAGCAGTGCTGCGTCCTAACCCATTGCACCACCAGGGAGGGCCAAAAATCATTTCAATTAAACTAAGAATTTTCATTTTAAAGTCATGAAAATTTAGACTTTTAATCACTCAGCACTGTGCTTAAATGAACATAGTGTGGACATCCTCTCTACTGTCCACCCTTCCCTTCAGTAAAGGGCATGTGAGAAAACAAAAATTTACTTTGATGGAAAGATCAGGCCTCTACTTGTGATATCTGAAATTCAGAATAGTGTTTTTTACTTTTGTAGGTGGTATGGGTGGATAGTTTCAGGGTATACTTTTTCTCATTTCCCTTTTTTTTAAAAAAGAAGAATTGTGCATACAGAACTGGGGAACTGGGGTACAGGCCAGAGGCTCAGGGGTGGTGAGAGGTTTCCCCAGAGACAGAGTGGGGAGCAGAACAGGCAGATGGATGACATACACTGCTTGAGGGAGCAGCGGGCGGGTCAGGAGAGGTCTGCCACGCCATGTGGTCACCTCCGGGGCAGGCGGGAATCGAACTCATGCGGAAGTGGCGTTAGCTTCTTGTGCTGTGCTTTAACCCACTGCGCCACCAGGGAGGGCCTCTCATTTCCCTTTAATTGAGGATTATCTGGATACCCTTATCAGGTATCAGCACTATAGTGCCCCTACCACCCGCCCACCTAGAATCCACATGGCCCTTGAGTTTCCTTCCATCTTGGGAATAATTCTCCATGGCAAGCATGAACTTGATTAATTTTTAATTTCTTTTTTCTTCTTTGATACTTAAGCTTGCATCTACATATATGGTAAGAACAAAAGGTGTATTCTCAAATGATTGGCTATTTAAATTCCTGTTGCTAAGAGCAATGCACAGTACAGCCAAAGCCTTGGATGAAACGACATTAAATTACACGGTGTCCTATCTATTGTTCATCTGAATTTCATATTTCGGAAATTTTACAGGACGGGGCTTTCATGAGTCAGGTGAACCCCCAAATTATTGGGGGGGACTTAGAGGTCAGCTCCTTTCCTTTGACAGCTGAGGCAGTGGAGGCTGAGGCTGGTACAGTCACCCAACAGGTCAAGGTGGGTGCTTGATGCTGTACTGACTCCCTCTCAGGTCAGCCCGCATCCCAGTCATCTGCGAGCTAAACCATCTGTGCTGTAGCCTCAGTTCCTCGGTTTTGTCTTGCCGAGGACACTTGTTAGGAGAAATGTATGTAAGAATAAAATTCCTACTGGTTCTTTGATTATCCTTTCTAACTCCAACGTCACTCAATTTGTGGTAAAAACTGACAAATTGATAAGCCACATAAATCAATTTTCTTTCAAGAGCCTAGAGTAAGCTCAATCATTTTGTAACACAGAAGCTGCATGTTGTCACAGATTCCAAATGAAGTAAGCTTTGCCTTTAGCAGGCCAGCGTCGAGAAGAAATACCTATGAATAAATAGGATTACACAGAACCAAACACTATTTATGTAAAGTGTCCTTTTGCTTGTTTGTTTTTCTTACCAGATACCTGTATGCACTTGGACAGAAGGTTTGGAAAAGATGGAAAAAGCGTTACTTTGTTCTTGTTCAGGTCAGTATATTTTTTTTTCTGTTACATCACTGTCCTAAGACAGCAATTCTCCAACTTTTATGTATTTTATGTACATATATATAT